CCTCCCTCCCTCCCTTCCTTCCTTCCTGGAATCAAAACAATTAAAATGGAACAATTTTTTCTTGCTAGCTTAGCTTCAGTCTGGCTTTTTTTTTTCCCATGCATGCTGACCTGGAAATCTTCCTTTGCCTTAGCTGCGATAATCGTGACTCAGCTTACAACACCATACATTCGCATCGCCCCTGCTGCAGGTGATGATCAACTAACAGGTCAGACATTCAAGTACAGACAAGTCATCTTACCATTCCATCTTGCTTTTTTTTTTTTTTTACTTTTTTTCTTCACATCCTCATCATTCTTTGCTTGTAGCTGGTTTATTAAACTGTAGAATTTTTATAGTTCAGCTCTTACATCTTTTGATCATTTGCTAGATTTTGAAAAGTTGAACACTTGTATTCATGAGTGCAAACAATTGGGCTGCATGTTTCATTGTGTATTTGGACATTGGGTTAATTCTTTTAAAGCCTAATGCTGTAAATAATTTCATTCGCCTGACATTCTAGCAGCTTATACATACTTCAGGACTTTGTCATACATACACAGAATTGAAACCAAAGAGCCATTCGCATAACAGGGTAGTAGATGCTGAATTTCCTTGTTCCCAGTGTTTCTTGGAAATATGCTGAATGGGATGGAATTTATAGGAAAGAGGGAACTAATGAAGAATGAAACAGGAATTATACTTCCACCTGATTATCTATTATATTCCCTCATTCCCCTGAGTGTTAGCAGGGCCGTACTGCAGGCCTCTTGGGGAAAAATATTTAGGGACCTTGAAGACCTGCAAAGGTAGAAAGACAGGCCAAGAAGTTCATTCAGCTCCATTATGCTGACAAAGCTCTATTGCAATATTTAGATGTGTCTCAAACTGGATTTATAGAGCATGAGTTACTAGATCTAAACATTTACATTTTTAATTCTAGAAAATTTGAAAAATGCCTTTAACATCCTGAACATAATGTATACAGCATTTAAATCTCTCCTGAATTAAGTAAATATATCATGATGTATATATGTCAGTGGTTAAAAAGGGGGAAGGAAAATACTGAGTATAATATAAAATTCACTATCATACTTGTTACTGAAGAATTCTAATTTTTAGATTTGCTGTATTCTATTCTACTATATATCTCTCAATATAGGAATATGTTAAGAATTTAGTCAGTACCATTCCCAGGAACACACTTTGTAAATATGATGTAACAGCCATTAAATATTTTTTTCTCTCATAAAGTAGCCATTTAGTAAACTTTTATGGGGCTAAATGGTCCATCTTGCAAGGACAACTTACATAATGACACTTTTAAAATAATTTTTGCATATGCATTCTACACAATTTTGAAATAACTTGTATATGTAGATTTTTCTCTCTTTTCGTGTGTGGACAGTGTATGAGTGTTTCCTTTAGTGCTTTCTTTTGCAATCCGTGTGCACAATGAGTTGTTGGCAATGGAAAGTTCAGTGATTATTACACAGTGTTGTAGCACAGACTTAATACTAACCCATACTTTGTTTAGCTATAATTTGTTAGTTGCAATTGCCTAGATTCACATATCAGACTTAACTATAAAATATGATTTACAAACAAAAATAAGGTGTATAGTATAGTAAGTTCTATAGGTGTAGAATAGTATAGTAAGGACCACAGGCACCCAGAAGAATCCACAATGTAATTTACATCAGTCACATCATGACGCAAATGATGTACACTATGTAATTTGTATCATGCAATGACGGTATAATATGAATAACATCACTTGCCGTTTCTGTGGTTACCCTATAGGGCTAATCTTTTTTCTAGAATCTCTTAAGTTTGAGAATTTGTGCAAAGATTGCAGACTTTATATTCCCCCAATCCCATGGAAATTAAATTGGGAAAAATTGAATAAAAAGGATGTTTAGGATACTTTTCCTGACTTACGAAAGTATAATATTTTTGTTAGAAATGGAGAATAGTGAATTATCGCAACATGTATTGTTCTGAAATTACACGAGGCACAAGAAGAATCCAAAATAGAGTAGTAAATATAACGTGTATTAAAATGCTTGTTAGCTGAAGCTATTTCTTAATAGATATGGAAACTGTGATATATGCTAATGTAAGCCATTTTTCGGCAGGATTTCCCCTCAGATTTAAACATTATGTATTTCTATCCTGTTTTAAGACATTTATTGTATATATAAATAATAGCAATACACTAGTAAGTTCACTACTTAGTAAAGAATCTATAGATTATCAATTGAGCTCTGACTGGCAAAAATACCTTATACCAGTGTTTCTTAAACTTTTTGCTCTCAGGAACCCTTTCTGCTTTTAAAAATTATGGAGGACCCCAAAAGAGCTTTTGTTTGTATAGGTTATATTTACTGTATTAAAATTAAATTCATGCATTTGTAGAATATTTATCTATTGAATCATGTATAAATAACAATATTACACCCATCAGATATTAAAATAAATAAAATATTTTTTGTGAAAAGCCCTATTTTCTTAACAAATAAAAAAAATGAGAAGAGTGACATTAATAGAAGAGAATATATGTAGCTCAGGGTTGAACTGTGCAGTCCTTGATGTTCTCTGAGCTTGGTTGTTTTCTTGCAGACATTTCATTGCCCGACTAAGTAACATCTTCAGTGCTAGAAGGGAGTGGGATTTGCTCTCTGTTTATATACAGCAGCTTGCCTGTCAATGTTGGTGAGGGAGTTGTTTTCTCCTTGGTAGACTGTTGTTTACTGCTTGATTGTCTGAGTTGGTAGTTCCTTGATTAGGGTATTGTTTACTGTATTGTTTACTGTTTGATTGTTTGTCTGATATAAATCCTGGTGTTAATCCCTGCTGGGTGTTGTTCGCTGGTAAGGAAGTGTTCTGGTCTTTTAGCCTCCTTTTTAACTTTTTATTGTCTCTTTTGAATGGAGTGTAAATGTTGTTTATCTCTATGTTCCTGTCTGAATACCAAGCTTCCAGGAACTCCCTCACATTTTTAGATTTAGCTTGATCCAAGATGCTGACAGTTTCCCAGTTGAAACTATGGTTGAGTCTGTCCATATGTTGGATGATTAAAGAGTTTTCATTGTGTCTTCTGTCTGCTAGTTGGTGTTCATAGATATATTCTGCCATTCTTCTGCCTGTGTGTCCTACATAGTGGCTGTTACAATCCTTACACTATACTTGTAGATGACTCCCGTTTTTCCTTCTTGGACTACTGAGTCTTTTGATTTACTTAAGATGTTTTGGAGGGCTTTAGTTGGTTTATGTGCTAGGGTGATGCCATATGGTTGTAATAGTCTGTTGGTTGTTTCTGAGAAGTTTCTGATGGATGGCAGTTTTATCCTTTTCGTAGCTTGTGTTGGTTGTGCTGTAGTGGGTTGAATGGACAGGCACTTTGTGATAAAGTTGCAAGGATATCCATTTTGTTGGAAGATGTATAGATGATGTTTCCTTTTTTTGGTGTTCTTGGTTGCTGCAGTGCATTTATGATCATCTGAATAATGTTCTTACACAGCCCCTCTTGTGGGAAGTTGGATTGTTACTTTGGTAATGGAGCACTTGGTTAGTGTGGGTTGTTTTTCAATAGACATGTGTTTCTAATTTGCCATCATTTTCCCTGCTGCTGTGGATATCCAGGAAGGGTAGTGTGTTGTTGTTTTCTTCTTTCTTTGTGAATTTTATGTCTTTGAAGATGTTGTTGTTTGTTTCATGTGTCTTCTCTAGACAAACCAGACAAACAATCAAGCAGTAAACAATACCCTAATCAAGGAACTATCAACTCAGACAAACAATCAAGCAGTAAACAACAGCCTACCAAGGAGAAAACAACTCCCCCACCAACACTGATAGGACAAGCTAATGTATATAAACAGAGAGCAACCCCACTCAGAACACCAAGGACTGCATAAGAGTAACATTGTTTTACATTTTTGCAAATACCTTCAATATCTGGCAAATAATTTTGATTTTGTAGAGGGTCTTGGGGGAACCCCAAGGGTCCTCAGACCACACTTTAAGAAACACTGCCTTAATATTACACCCAATCCCAACAAGAACAAGGAAGGACTACATTTGTCCTGGCACTAGGAATTTCAGTTTGTGTAGTGAGTTCCAAGTCATTTAAAAAGATGTTTGCTCAGAAAATAGCTTCCATATACACTTTGGGTTAAAAGATTAGCATCCTTGGTCCCTTCTCTGCTGCTTAAAAAAGAGAGTTGAAGGTGTCAAAAAGAAGAAATAGGGACCATTAGAGACAGAGAGAAAGCCTAATGGACTTTTGCCCTGCCTCCACCCACTGTTATCTTTAGCCCCAACCACCACATATCCCCAAATAGAAAAAGAACTCAGTCCTTGAAACCCCCCCCACACCAAATTGCCTTTATTGCAAAGTGCGTAAGGTACTGTTTTTGTACATTACACTGTTTTCAATTAACTTAAGTGTTCAATTTGGAATATTTATTTACACCCTCAAATATTTTGGCTAATTTAAAACAAATTTCTACCTTACATGAGTAGGATGTCTGGCGCCAAACAGAAAATCATTTTACTCCACTGAACTGCTTCTGTAGAGTATATGCACATCTGTAAAGCTATTTTCTTGCTGCAATACTTTAATTCTCTTGTATATTAAAATGAATTTTCTGCTTGAAGAAGTGGCAGATAGCAACAATTAAACACCTATAGTGAAACATGATGCAAATTTGGGATGTGTAAAACATATTCACAGTCATTCTGTTCATAGAACAACTGTTTTCAGCAGTTATGCTTAAACTGAAACATGGGTGTTAGTCCAGATACAGAGTGAAATGGAGCTGTTTTGTTCCAGATGCAGATTGAAATGCAGTTGTTCCAGAGAGAACTCTTTTGGGGAATAAGAACAGATAAAATCCAAGAATGGTACACAGAGGTAGATGGGAGGAAAGGAAGGTTCTAGAAACATCAGGGTTGGACAGGCTGCTGTGGTTGGACATCAGTGGTGGCATTGCTGTGAGGAGGGAGGATGTGATATACAGCAATCTTGCCTTGTTCACCCTGTAAAATCATTCAGATTCCTGAGGGCTTTGTTTGGGTTGAAACCTGGAATAATAAAAATGGTCTGAATTTTTTTTTTTTCTACCAAATCGTTGCCCATCCACAATACAGTAGGTTTGTTCTGGGTTTGGGAAAAAACACATTTTCTGTTTCATGCTCAATTTCAGTTTTTAGT